CTACACTGAATTTGGCAGTGGGAACATTTTCATTAGGAATGTGTTGAGCTTGCTTGACTACCTCACTGTATTATGAATGTAAAGGATCTTGGACACCAAGCTGTAGGAGATAACACAGAAATTGCTTGCGAAAACAAAACGTTCTTTATAAATTTACTTCTTTTTGGTTCTCAAATTAAGTGTGCGTAAGCTAAAGTTTAACATGTGTTGAGTGGTACAATCTAAAAAGGGTTTCTAAAAAATGCCTGCTATGCATTGTTTTTAGAGGGAAATGTGATCATTGGATTGAAAAACCTATATTCTGTGGATGCCCTTGTAAAATTGTACTCCCATGCAGGGAAGGGAAAGGGACAATTCTCTTCAATGGCTGAATCCTGGAAGGAGGGGGAAAGAGAGAAAATGTAAATGCACATAGCATGTTTTCTAAAGCACCTAGAAAATCAGGATATCTGAAACTGGTATGTGTATAACAATGTACAAAATTTAAAAAAAAAACAATGTACAAAATTGCTAAGCCAAACATAGTCCACTGACATGCATGGTGGCCTGTCAGGTGCTAAGTAAACCTCATACTTCAGTTTCTTACCTAGAACCACTTGTCAGACACTTGACAACTACAATACAGGGCTGATGTTTGGCATGATAGATCACATTAGATCTGTAATTGTATATCCCCCAGTAAAACCCAATCAACCTCTTCTTGAAATGTTAGAGTAAGCCTGGAGAGATAAGGATGAGGTTATTATTTTATATGCTGATTCTGCTTTGTGATTTCTTCCATCTGCAGCCTTTTCAAGGTGACAGCATTTCTGTATTATATGAATAGAAACAATTGCTCTGTTAACTTTGCAGAGACAGCCTTCCAGATGAGCACCTAATGCCTTAATTCATTTCCATGTATTATGATAAAAATGCAATTTTGAATCCTCCTCATCCTACTTACTGTCACATCTCAATGTAACAAATGGAGGATTCACTGTGGTACAGGAATTTTGTTTTACTTCCTGGCCGATGTCATTATTGCATTTATTTAGCAATCCTGCTTGAAGCATAGAGAAGTTCTTACTCTGTCTTATTCCTGCTCCTCTCATAGCTCCAACCACAAGGTATTCAGTTTGGTGAATCAGCAGCAATGGAATAGGAATTTGCAGTCCCTTTGGGTCAATTTGCCTGATCAGCACAGCCCACTGTGGTAGGGTTGGGGCACATCCCAGTGACCTTGCAGGGGGATTACCATGGTTTGTTGTCCATCCAAACCAAGGCAACAGGAGTTGTTTGAGGGTGAAGCAGTCCTCGAAATAACCCGTAGTCTGATGCAGAGTTATTTTCTAGGTGCGGGGGTGTATGTGTGTGGCCTGCCTATCATCTACATGGCTACATATAGTTATTCTATTATTTTTACTTCAGTGCGACATCATCCTATAGTAGATTTTTCTGCCTATTTAAACCTACCATTTATCATCAGGATAGCAGAAGCAAACTCTGCTTTGGGGATGGGTGGTTGAAAAAAAAAAGCATACAAAAAAGGCAGGAACATACATGAAGCTTACAAGGGGAAGATGATGCCATCTTGATAACAGAAAATTGTTTGAATGAGGCAGACCAAAGTGTACCCATGTACATTCCTTTAAGGACTGTGGGCCAGCTGTGCATGCCTTATGGAGAGCTGAAGGATGGGTCACCCGACCTCACAATATGCATTTCAGGCAGGGAATACGGAGGAAATTAGACTCCCTCCTCCATTCTTTTAGAAGCTGGAGGTTAAAGGAGAAGGTAAGCATAGCTAATCTCTTCCTGTAAGCTCCTGAATGCCTAGAAGCAGGGTGTGAAACTTTAATTTCTGCAAGAAAATATCTGATAGCCCTTTCTGAAGAAGATTGTTCCAGAAAGGCAGTGAGTGCAGCAAAAATCCAGCCTGACTTCATAAGGAGCAGAGAAAGTCTCAAGAGAAAAAAGGCTACAAAAGAAAGGCAGACTTAGCTGGATGGAATTTTAAATTTGGTTTAGGACTTATTCTTGTTTATGAAGTATTACATGTGATGATACTTAAAATTTGACTCTTTCTCTCTGCATTTGTGTACACACACACACACACACACACTTAAATATTGCATATTATGTGACATACTGGAAAACAATGGATAACTTTGTGAGTGCCTCTAGAAATTCTGTACTGAAATCATTAGAAAGTAGAGTGAGGAGAGGTAATAAAAGTTATAAAAGCACCCATCACCTCTGGCTTCTGAATAGTTGCATGATAAGCCTGAATTTATTTATTTATTAGCATTATTTCCAGTCTTTTTTCCTTTCAAAGAACTCAAGTCAGCTTACATAATTCTTCTACTCCTCTCAATCTTACCCTCACCACAACAACTCTGTGAGGTAGGCTGGACTGGGAGTCAGACTGGAGTTGGCTCCATGACTGAGCAGGGACTTGAACCCAGGTTGCCTGAGTCCCAGACCCACACTCTTTAACCACTACACTACCCTGACTCTCCAATTTATTACTGTGCCTACATGCATTGCTGCAAATATTGACAATATTATTGTTGTTATAATCCAAATAGTTAGAAATATCAACATATTATTGATGATATACTTTGCATACTGCCGTGGATATGCATTGCACTTTACCATGGTAAGATAAAATGTATTTACTTTGTTTGCAATATTTCTGTACTTCTTACTTATCAGAAAAATCTGGAGAGGATAAAATGGAGAAGAGGGGGATTGCGAAAGTGGCCTTGGGATCTTTACAGGGGGAAATGGTGGGATATAAGTGTTATCTGGTCAATTCATAAGTAAGGGGTAAAACCAGGAAGTATGAAAATGAAACAGACATAACATCTTAAAATCAGAATAGAAATAGCAACAGAAAACAGTAGTGAAAAAAACATAAAAGGTGCTAAAATAACCAGCCCTTGGAAAATAAAAAGAGTTTCACCTCCTGGTAGAAAGATTACAATGTAACTGCCACATGAGCCCCTCTGGGGAGGGTATCCCAAATTTGGGTGCCACCATCAAACAATTCCTCTGTCTCATGTCAGAATCCTGGAATCTCAATTTGAGAAGAGCAAATAAAACTCGGGTTTGTGGGTAAGATCAAGCATCCAGACCATCTTGGCTTTATTGTATTACCCAGGTTCCTGCGGTAGACTCTCATGATAATGCATTACTGGGCAGGCAGAGGTAAACTCTGCTGCAAAACTTCAACACAACTACAGAGTTTTCATACACTCCCAGTCACGTCACAGGTACAGGGCAATTGATGACAGAATGCAGAGATTACAATAAGATTCTGAGGTCATCACATACAGAACAGATAAAGGAATGTCAGTCAATCATACAGTAACAATGAGATTACAATATTTCTAATTGCAGTGTACTGACACTTTAGTTGAGTAACTTGAACCCATCTCCAGGTCTGCTTAGACATGTAAATCCAAGCTACTGAGAAACTATGCATGAACTCATAAGCTTATCTAGACTCTAGACATTCTGAATGACCAGGATACATGAAGTCCTCTGGGCTAGGAAGATACTTCCTGGTAAACTGAATTCCAATGCCATTTTAAACAGTGACTTAGCTTGGTTTTGAGAAGGAGTACAGGATTTGATCCCACAATGCAAAAGCACACAGAAATAATGCTTTTCAGACAGGATTTATCCAAATTTTCCCAACACTCATCACCACCTGACACAATTCATTTGGCAGGGCTCCTGGAGAAGAGACTCAGGAGATGAACTAAGGCATGGGTCCTCAAACTATGGTCAGGGGGCCGGATCTGGCTGCCATGCCCATTTATCTGGCCCGCCATGCCCATTTGGACCCGCTGTGTGTGCATCCGCACCCACACGCACCCATGCCATCACTCACCCTGTGCGCGGGGAGGCAGCAGCTTGCTCACTTGGAGAAAATGATCTCCAAGCGAGCAAGCTGCTGCCTCATGCGCCTGTCTTGCAGCGCATGCCCGCCCCTGTCCCCCCTCACTACGCACGCAGCCGCCCGCTGCTGGCTTCCCTCTCCATGTGCCCTGCCCCTGCCTCAGCAGGCCCGCACACACGCACCTCCCCCACCCCCTATGCCGGCCCGTGCCGGCCCGTACCACCGGCACCACCTTTCTGGCCCGCGCCCAGCACTGGCACCTTTTAACTGGCCCCCTGGTTAAAACGTTTGAGGAGCCCTGAACTAAGGGGCTGGGTATATATATATGGAGGAGACAATCCCTCAGGAAACCTGGCCTCAAGTCAATGAGGGTTTTAAAGGTCAATAGCAGCCCTTTTAATTGGGTCTGGAAACTGCCTAGGAGCCCAAGTATATCATACAATGCTGGCATGATATGATCCTATCACCCAATCCATGTAAACAAGCCTACTCCCTTATTTTGGTTTGGTTGAAGTTTCAATCTAAGAGAATTTTTTTATTATTATTATTATTAGAACATTTCTATGCCGCCCCTTGCCGAAGCCTCGGGGCGGCTTACAACACAATAAAATACAATAAAATACAAAAATAACAATATAAAATTAAAATTAATAATATAAAATAAATAAAAAATATAAAAGATATAAAGGAAGTCGCCCTGGCCAGATAAATAAGCAAATATTGTTAACAATTAAAATTACGTTTAAATAAAAAGGTCTTCACCTGGCACCGAAAAACAAATGACGGCATCAGGCGGACCTCTCTGGGGAGCGCATTCCATAGATTCAAAGGGGTCACACTCTCCCTGCCCTTTTCTTGGCAGAGGTCATTCACCAGGTGACCCAAGGCAGTTTCCATTCCAAACCCAGAACTGAGATCTGAATGACTTTGAAATGAAATGTAAGCTCATGGCCCAATGAGCTTACAAATGTATATATAATAACTTTCTAAAAGGGTTCTCTTTACTGACTCACCATCCTGAATTTCTTCTCTTTGTTGTACAACAGTGCTAACTTATCTGGAATTTCTAAAGTTGGTTTCCACATTTGTCAGTTTTGGTACAGGAAGAATACATACAGACATGGAAAGAAAACACTTGAAAAAAGAGATTGAAAAACTCTTGTAAGTACTGCTTATAATCTGTTTGGTATTTGGTACTTTGGTGTAGACTTAAATTTTATTCTTGTATTTTATGCTCAGTGAATAATCCTCTGTCTTTCTTGAATCTTCAATACACATGAATAAGAAAGCATTGGATGGCTGAAAGTTGGTCCTAATTATAAACCACTCTTTTCTTTACAGGGGAGATTATGTTGGCATCATACTTCGGGAAAATGGATTTGACCCACAAGGAAAAAGACAAATCTCTTTTCTGGATGACTTGGTATGCTGCTACTTTTTCCTTAGAAATTAAAATATCTTATGGGGTTTTTTCCTGCCTTTATACAAGGCCTGAAATACCCTGCCCTGAGAGAAAATTAAAAAGTGTTTGTCATTGCTCCAGGTTACCAAACGAGAGTAGGGAAAGCTCACCTAACATGAAACATCTCCATCTACTGTCCTGACCAGCACTTTTCCTGGTTGTTTTTCCTTTAGGAATTGCACACAAGCCAAAGTGCATCCATGTGCTGCATGACCTTTGGTTCTTTGTGCCAGCGCCCTGCTGATGGCAGACATGCTTACCGGATAGCCAAGCCCCAGCAGAGGCAGCAACAGGCTGATTCCAGAGGAATCCCCATGTTAGTCTGTAGCAGCAAAACAAGGACAAGTCGTATGACTCCACTTAAGGCTGTGGTTGGCCTTTGCTGGCCACAGAGCCTCTAAATTAAGGATCAAGAGGATGTGCCCTTGCTTCCAAGGTATTTATGCTGTTTGTGTCCATCAAGGGTGAGGAACCTCCTCCACTCTGTAGGAGAAATTGAACCTGCTAGGCTAGCACACCTGGCCCATAGAGCCTGTGGGGAAGCTGCTTCCCTCTCCAAAGTGCCTGTGTCTCCCCAAAGCCATACCTACTGAAGACTCCTGGGAAAGGTTTCCTGCTGCTGCCTCTGTTCTGTGATAGCAGAAAGCAAAGGGGATTCCTCTTAACACATAATTTGCCCTCCCGACTGGCAGAGTGAGGCGCACACTACGTGCTTCATCCACCCTGCTTCCTCCCCAATAGGGGGAAGGGCAGGCCAAGCTTCCCCATCCTGGATTCCAGATGGAGGGATATCTTCCACCTGGTGCATCAGACCAGGTGGCTTTAGCCCTGCCTCACTGGGAAAAGCCCAGGCACAGGAAGCTCATTCCCTGGCCAAAGCCCTGTCTGGTGGAGCTCCAGCCAGCTCCTCAGCCGGGGACTGGATGATGCCAGGGGTGTGGGCTCAGCCCTGACATCATCAAGTTCACAGAGGCGTTATGCAGCCCCTCCCCAAGCCCAGCTCTTGTTCTCCATCCCTGATGTAAACACACTGAAACACTGCAACAAGAAGCCAAGCCCTCCTTGCAGAGTAGGTGGACAAAGCAGTACAATGTAGGCAAAGCAAACCTTGACCATCTTTTTCCCATCTTTTTTCCCAGGCTCAGTATGACTTGGCTGTAAATGTTGCTTTGGCTTGGCGCAGTGATTCAGAAGTCCAAATGCCATGGGGAAAACAAAAAAGGTAAGTATAAGAAAAGCAAATAAGTTCATCTTTTAGTGAAGCTATTAATGTACATAAAAGGCTGGATGTCTCATCCACTTAGGGTACATTCCTACAAAGCCTACAGCTCCCAGACTGGAATATGTTAGGAGCTGTAGGACTTTTTTCTGCTGAATGTGCATAAGATTGTGTCCTCAACCTGTACTGGTCTGAATGGAGTCATGCCCACCTTAAATCCAAGTAGCTTGCTGCAAGGTGTTCATCTCCATCTCCACCTCATTCTCGCTCTGCTAAGATTGTCAGTATCATGCTGCGGGGCATGAATTTACATGAAGCTGAACTCTGGCTTGCCCTGGATGCCAAACACTCCTGATGGCATCTGCAGACCCTTATGCTCCAGAATAAATGGTGATCCCCTGAAAAGCTTCCCCCCCTTATGGAAACCTTTTAAAGAGTTGCCCCTAACCCCCAAATTGTTCAGTTCCATAAAATATAGTGAGCAACCTTTACTGCAGAAAGCCAGCTCCCCCAACACGAACACATTCCAAAGCACAACATACCCAAAACATAAAACATGTTTTTTGTTATGCACCAAAACATGGTGCATAAAACTGCACCATTAATCCTCCCTTTAAAAAAAAAAAGTTTAAAAGGGGTTCTTTGGCCTAAGTAGAAGTTGAACTTGCTATCCTTGTCCTCAGGTTCATCATTCAGGGCTGAAAGGTACAACACATATTGTTCTATAATTGATAAGGTTAGCCTACCTAACTTCCATTTTTTGATATTTAATCTGGACAGGAAACTGCCACTGCCTCAACAGTATATCTATCCCAACCCAATCAAGAGAGAAGCAATGATTTTATCAGCTTATGCTGGGATGCTAATGGTATGTTACTTTTAAGAAATACTGTTTATTTCCTTTTGGATCATGGACCTGCATCCAGAAGGTGTGTCACTTTAAGGGTGCCCTGCCTTTGGCCAGCCTAACTAGGCACCAAGCTCCCTTTACATTCAAACACTTTCTTATAGAAAATGAGCCATTCCCTAGCCGGGCCTCACATATTCCCAGCACAGATTGTCTCCTTATTCAGAGGCTCCCTTTCTATATGTGATCTGCACCTGTCTTAGGCAGCACATATAGCCCATTAGCTGCCACTAATGACCCTCCTGATTAAATAACTTGGGAAACATGGGAAATTTGCTCAGATATATTGTGATTCTCTAACTATCTCAAGAGGTTCCTTGTGATGCCAAAGTGACCCTGACTTTATATACATATACTTGCTAAGACAGCTTATTATGGATTTCTTTCAACAATAGTCCTGCTTAGACTAAATGAATGGGAGCAACCATATATAGTTATGTAGTCAGGTATGTTACTTTTATTTTATTGCATACAGTCATGTCGCTAGTCGCGAAGTTGTGTCCGACCCATTGCGACCCCATGGACAACATTCCTCCAGGACTTCCTGTTCTCCACCATCCCCTGGAGTCCACATAAGCTCACGCCAACTACTTCAGTGACTCTATCTAGCCACCTCATTCTCTGCCGTCCCCTTCGTTTGCCGTCAATTGTTCCCAGCATTAGCTCTTCTCCAGGGAGTCCTTCCTTCTCATTAGGTGGCCAAAGTATTTGAGTTTCATCTTCAGTATCTGGCCTTCTAAAGAGCAGTCGGGGTTGATCTCCTCTGACTGGTTTGATCGCCTTGCGGTCCAAGGGACGCGCAGGAGTCTCCTCCAGCACCACAATTCAAAGGCCTCAATTCTTTGGTGCTCAGCCTTCCTTATGGTCCAACTTTCACAGCCATACATTGCAACTGGGAAAAACATAGCCTTGACTATACACACTTTTGTCGGCCGGGTGATGTCTCTGCTTTTTAGTATGCTGTCTAGATTTTCCATAGCTTTCCTCCGAAGGAGCAAGCATCTTTTAATTTCTTGGCTGCAGTCCCTGTCAGCAGTGATCTTGGAGCCCAGGAAAATAAAATCTGTCACAACCTCAATTTCTTCCCCATCTATTTGCTAGGAAGTGAGAGGACCGGATGCCATGATCTTAGTTTTCTTAGTGTTGAGTTTCAAGCCAACTTTTGCACTCTCCTCCTTCACCCACCTCAAGAGGCTTTTTAGTTCCTCTTCACTTTCTGCCATTAGAGTGGTATCATCTGCATATTTGAGGTTGCTGATATTTCTCCTGACAATCTTAATTCCAACTTGTGATTCATCTAGCCCCACCTTTCTCATGATATGCTCTGCGTGTAAGTTAAATAGGCAGAGTGACAATATAGAGCCTTGCCGAACTCCTTTCTCAATTTTGAATCAATCAGTGGTTCCATGTCCAGTTCTCACTGTTGCTTCTTGACCCACATATAGGTTTCTCAAGAGAAAAATAAGATGGTCTGGTACTCCCATCTCTTTAAAAACTTGCCACAATTTCTGGAACTCCCTAGCTTTCTCCATGATCCAGCGTATGTTGGCAATTTGATCTCTAGTTCCTCTGCATCTTCGAAATCCTGCCTGTACTTCTGGTAATTCTCGGTCCACATACTGCTGGAGCCTAGCTTGTAGGATTTTGAGCATAACTTTGCTAGCATGTGAGATGAGTGCAATGGTGCGGTAGTTTGAACATTCTTTGGCATTGCCCTTCTTTGGAATTGGAATGTAAACTGACCTTTTCCAATCCTGTGGCCACTGTTGAGTTTTCCTAATTTGCTGGCATATTGATTATAGCACTTTTACTGCATCAACTTTTAGGATTTTGAATAGCTCAGCTGGAAAACTGTCACCTCCATTAGCTTTGTTGTTGCTCAGACTTCCTAAGGCACATTTGACTTTACATTCCAGGATGTCTGGCTCAAGGTCAGTAACCACCCCATCATGGTTATCAGGGACATTAAGCTCTTTCTTGCATAGTTCTTCTGTGTAATCTTGCCACCTCTTCTTAATCTCCTCTGCCTCTGTTAGGTCCCTGCCATTTTGGTGCTTTATCATGTCCATCTTTGCATGAAATGTTCCTTTCATATCTCCAATTTTCTTGAAGAGATCTTTGGTCCTCCCTATTCTATTGTTCTCTTGTATTTCTTTGCACTGTTCATTTAAGAAGGCATTCTTATCTCTTCTAACTATTCTCTGGACTTCTGCATTCAATTGGGTATATCTTTCTCTTTCTCCCTTGTTATTGTTGGAAGCAGGAATTCTAGATCTTCCACTTTTCAGTTAGTGGAAGACAGGTGAACTTAAAATAAAGAAGCTGGAGAACACTTCAGCAAAGAATAGTAATTTTTAAAAATTGTTTTGTTTATATCCCACCTCTGCCTCCCAGGAGTGCAAAGCAGCATACATAATTCTCCTACTCCCATTTTATCCTTACAACAATCTGGTGAGGTAAGATAGGCTGAGATCAGTGACTGTCTCAAAGTCACACAGTGAGTTCTATGACCAAATAGGGACTTGAACTCAGAGCATCACAGTCCATCACTCTAGCCACTATATTATATGGGGAGCAGGGCAGGTGATCTTTAACATGTGAACTGGGCTGCAAGCATGTTCCCATTTTTGTTTGTTAAATATTAAGATTTAACAGAGAAAAGCTTCAGGAGTCAGATGGGGAGGAATCATAAAATAGCAGAGTTGGAAAAGGCCATGAAGGCCATCAGGTCCAAGCCCCTGCTGTTGCAGGACACCAAGTTGCACCATCCCACTCAGATGGCTGTCCAGCTTCTTTTAGAAGGTATCTAGGAGGCAGGATACAGAGCTACCCATCATGAAGTGCAGCATTTTACTTTCCTAGCTAGGAATGGATATGGCAGTCATTGCTGAACTCCATCAGAGACAGAGGGGAACATTCCTGTCTTCCTCCTCAAGTCTTGGAGGTCATGTTGGCTTCGAGAGGAAGAGCCACAAGGCATGGAACTTGAAGCATTACCATGATGACTCTTTAAATTATTAGCAGCAATGATGGATTTGGATGGGAGAAAGGAATTGAACTTTCCATCCCTCCCTGTCTGCCACTTGTCAGGAGTTAAGAACCCTGTACCAGTCCTATATAAAAAGGAAGATGTTAAAAGCTAAAACTAACCTGTAGGCCTGTTTCTACAGAATAGCCTTCCTATTGAAGATGTCATTGGGATTTATAGCACTGGTCCTTCTGCAACACCCCTGCACAGTTCTAAAGTAAGTTATTTAAGCATGGAGAGCATGATGCTAATGGGTGCCTTTTACCGACGGAGCCTCAACGACCTCTCATGGAGGCCCATTCCACACCCTCGGGGTCCTGACTGTCAGGAAGTGCTTCCTGGCATCCAAACGAAACCTTGGCTCCCTGAGCTTTGCTCCATTGGAGCGCGTCCTGCCTTCCTCTGCAGGGGAGAACAGGTCTCTACCCATCTCCATGTGACATTCCCTCACATACCTGTATGTCGCCAACAGATCCCCTCTGAGTCTCCTCTTCTCCAGGCTGAAGAGACCCAGTTCCCTCAGTCTCGCCTCATATGGCATCCCCTGCAAACCGGCCCCCAACCTTGTGGCCACAGGCTGCACTGACTCCAACCTGGCTATATCCTTTCTGTAATGAGCGGCCCAAAACTGAGCACAATACTCCAGTTGTGGACGCACTAGAGTCGTGTAGAGTGGTAGTAATACCTCTCTTGATCTAGAAGCCACACTTCTGGCTATGCAACCAAGGGTGGTGTTCGCCCTCTTGACCACCGCATCACACTGCTGACTCATGTTTAGCCTGCAGTCAACCAGTACCCTGAGGTCCCTTTCACAAGTGCTGCTCTCCAGCCACTTATCACCTAACCCGTACTTATGACAGCTATTCCTATGCCCCAAGTGCAAGACCTTGCACTTATCCACATTGAACGCCATCCTGTTTTCTCCAGCCCACTTCCATAGTCTGTCCAGATCTTTTGGATCTGGAGTACCTGCTCCTCAGTTGTGGCCACTGCTCCAGTTTTAGTGTCGTCTGCGAATTTGTTCAGCAGACTCTTCACCCCTTCTTCCATGTCGTTAATGAAAAGATGAAACAGGATCGGCCCCAGGACAGAGCCCTGGGGGACCCCACTTGTCACTGGCCACCATCCCAATGATTCCCCGTTAATGGTTACCCTCTGCTTTCAGTCAGTCAACCATGCCCTAATCCACTGGACAGTGCTTTGGTGTATCCCAAAACTCCTCAGTTTCTCCACCAGGATATCATGGGGCACTTTGTCAAAGGCTTTGCTGAAATCCAGGTATACCACATCCACTGCATCCCCTCCATCTAGCCATCATGAAACTTTGTCATAGAATTCCACAGTGTTTGTCTGGCAGGACCTGTTTATGCGGAAGCCGTGTTGTTTGGCTGTCAGCCTCCCTTCCCTATCTAGCATCACTAGATCTCTCTCTATTATGAGCCTTTCCATTGTTTTTCCTACAATGGACGTAAGGCTAACAGGTCTATAATTCCCCATGTCCCTTCTACTACACTTTTTGAAAATTGGGACCACTGATGCCACCACTTCACCCGTTCCCCACGAGGCCTCAAAAATGGAGGCCAGCGGGCGTGAGGGAACCCCTGCCAACTCTCTAAGTACTCTCAGGTGTAACCCCTCAGGGCCTGGCGCCTTTGTAATGTCCAATGCCCTGAGGAGCCCCTCGACTTCAAGGGGGGGTGACTCTAATCTGTGCCCCTAAATCCCCAGCCTCATCTAATCTCCTATGCAGATATCCCCCGTCCTGCTTTGGGGAGAACACAGAGGCAAAATAGTCATTTAGCATCTGTGCCTGTTCCCTCATATCAGTCACTGGATCTCCTTCCTCCTTATTTAGTGGTCCCACCACTTGTCTCCCCTTTCTCTTCCTATTTACATGCTGAAAGAAACCCTTTTTATTGTTCTTGATATTCTTGGCAAGTCTCAGCTTGTAATCAGACTTAGCCTTGTGAAGAATCCTTCTGCAAAGGGCCTCCTCCTCCCAGTATACCCTTTTGTCTATTTTCCCCAGTACCTACGGATGTTCCTCTTTCATTTAATCCCTCTAACCACCTCCTTTCTCATCCATGGTGGCACCCTCCTCCGCCTACCCACCTTACTGACCAGAGGTATCATCAAGGCTTGCGCCTCCAAAACCTCCCTTTTGAGTGCTATCCACCCCTCCTCAACTCGCTCACCTTCCCCTAACCTATTCCAGGAGACTTTCCCCACTCTGGCCTTCAGTTGGCCAAAGTTGGTCCTCTTGAAGTCCCAGCTTCTAGTGCTCGACCTGCTGCACATCCCCAGTCCCCTGATCTCAAAGCAAAGGATGGAGTGATCACTCACATCCAGAGCTCCCCTAATCTGTACTTCATCTATCAGCTCCTCCCTGTTGGTCAAGACCAAGTCAAGGATGTTTCCTCCCCTCGTCACCTCTCGGACCCTCTGTGTGAAAAACCCTCCCTCTATAGCTTCTAGGAAGCGACGTGACCTGGCTGTCACCGCCAAGTGAGTCTCCCAAGTAATATCCGGGAGAATTGAAATCTCCCATAATTACTGTGTCTCTCCCCCAAGATATCCTTAGAATCTGGCCTGTCAGGACATCATCCAGGGTCTCAAGTTGACCTGGAGGGCGATAACATACCCCCACTGTCAGGTCTCTTTCCCTGTCAAAACCCTTTAGTTTCACCCAGACTTCCTCTACTGAATCCCCATCTGTGCTGCATTCTATCTCACTGCATCCTATCCCTTCCCTGATGTATAAAGCCACGCCCCC